CACAGCATCACTACTGGTTTATTTAGGGATAAGGGTGCTAGTCAGGGTGGCTTGAGGCCATCTGGTAAACTTTACTTCTGCCTTTGCTCTGTTATCCATGATGCCTCTTGAGTTTGACCATTAACTTGTATGTTAAAAATTCATTTCTTATTGAGACTACCTAAAAAATTTTTATTTTATTATTGAATTTGTCATATTGCCTCCTCTGTTAACCTCTTTGATTGGGTTCTCTTTAATTCGGTCCCACGAATTATATTAGTCATTTCAATTACTTTTGTCTTGAACAAAATTTATCCTTGAAGGAACTTATCCTTCCTGTCTTTATATTTTGTGCTTAAACCTCATGCTTTGTATAAAAGAGATTATAAAGCCTTTTGAACAGGAAAGATTCTTTTGTCTAAAAGATATATAATGAAGTGTAATTTTTTTTTCCATTTGCCTCTCTAAATGCACATTGTTTGCATTTTCAATATGGAAGGGTAATTGATTTTGTGTGTTTCTTATCATAATAAAATGATGGCTTGGCTCTTAGGCATGGAATTTGAATTTGGAGGAGCTCTCATTTAACCTTTTTGTTTGAGCCAATGTTCATGTAGCAAGAATGCTGTAAGAAAGACTTCTCATTTCTTTTTGGTAATAGCAAAATCAGTTGACTGGGTGTCTGTGAAGAGTGTTTCTTCTATGAGACTGAAAACTTAAGTGGGAGTGGGTGAGTGGAAGCTAACTGCAATATGAATATTGAGAAATGGTAAAATCTACTGTTTGGGTCTAGGTTTTATTCTGTTCTCTGTAGCTGTCCTCTCATAGAATCATAGAATCAGCTAGGTTGGAAAAGACCTTTAAGATCATCAAGCCCAACTGTTACTCCAGAACTACCACTAAACCATGTCACTAAGGGCTACATGTGGTTTGAACGCTTCCGGGGATGATGGCTCCACCACTTCCCTGGGAAGCCTGTTCTAATACCTCACCACCCTTTCGGTGAAGAAATTTTTCCTAATATCCATTCTAAACCTCCCCTCTCATAGCTTGAGACTGATTACTCCTGTTCTGGCACTTGTTACTTGGGAGAAGAGACCAGCTACCTCCTGGCTCCACCCTCCTTTTAGGTAGTTGTAGAGAGGCCATAATGAAGCCACAGTACTATTGTAGTTACACAACATTTTCCTCATGATAAAATGGGAATGATATTTGCTTTCTTTAGGTGGAACACTAAAACTTTTATGTATTAATATTATGTAGCAAACTTAAGTGCAGTTGGAGGGAATTGGCTCCTGAAGGGTAGTATATGGAATGTATTTTATAAGACAAGTTCACTGAAACATGAGAAGGTGCTAAAATACATCTCTGTATGGATGTGAAATAATAAGTTGCTAACTTAATTTGAAAAGCTATTTACAATTTTAATGCTCACATGGTAAAGAATATTTTACTTTCCAGGCAGTTTTTTAGCTTTTTGTTTAAATTTCTGAGGGGACATGTTTTCTATATAGTCTTAAAGTAAAGTCTGAGTTTTCTAGGTTACACTATTCTTAAATTGTGTTCTGATGTCGTATGCCATTCTCATGGTCTTCTCTGAGGCAATCACAGCAATATTAAGCAGTTATCAAAACAAAGCTTCGTAAGAGGTGCCTGCTGCTTTTTCAAACTCTCAGAGTTATAAAAGTGCCTACATCTTAGAATGAGCAATCACTTCTGGTTTGGTTTTTTTTTTTTTTTTTGTAGGCTAAAAAGATTTTAATTTTATATCTTTCTATCACTTTTGTGAAATCTGTGTAATAGTCTTTGGTAAATCTGATGTAACTTGGCTTTGTTTGAGATAGCATTAATAACAGTTATTTCCCAGAGGTACTGAACAAATAGGATCTACAGCTGTTGTAAAAGTTGTGAAGAAAAAAATTATTTATTTTGTCCTTATTCTGATCTGTATAGATGTAGAGAAACCTTATTTTTTTGTTTGTCATAATACAAGAAGGATTTAGATAGAGAATGGGAGGTTGTTTTGAGTTGTAACAGGCAGTATTAGGTGGCATATGGTTCACAAGGTGAATCCGGGCTGTGTCCAAACAATATGTATGAGTAACTTCAAGATTAGCAGGAGTCAGGATTAGCATCCTTAAAGAACAACATGTTACTGCTATGCACAGGCTTCTACTTCTGACAATAGCTTTGCTTCATGAATATAGACACCTATTGTACTAATTCTCATAAGAAAATTATGGTGTACTACTCTGAGGCTTTTCTTTTTTCCTTCTGGGGAAATAAAGCATGTATTTTTAGGTTGTTACCTCTGGAGACTGAGTGCCAGTGCATGTCATGAATTATGTCCGCCACTAGCTGTGGAACTGGTGAGTTAGTTCCTACCCAGGGAAATGGGTGGAGTTGGTGGAGGTGACGAGGTGGATACCTCTCCAAAGGTATCCAGCTTTGTTTGCCCTGAGGGAAGGGTCCTGCCAGCCTCTTGGCTGTAGAGGAGCTTCAGTGTGACTCCAATGCCATACTGAGGAGTGAATTTGCCCAGAGAACAGGCAGTGTGAAGTCTGGTGGTGTTAGAGAGAAGGAGCTCGAGCTGCGAAGGAAGATCTGCTGCTCTGTGGGCACCGAGTGCAACTGTGTGAGAAAGCAGTGATTAGGTATTTAGGGGCTGGAGCAGACCTGTCAGGAGAAATGTCTTCAAGGGTAGCTGCTGCTAAGAACATTTTGCTTTCCTAGGGTATATAGAGAGATAGTCATACTTCCAGTTCTTCTGTATTCAGTATTCTAGGTCATTGAGTATCTGCTTTAAGAGTAGCAAGTGGAAACTGACAGACAAGCCTTTACCAGGATGGAGGAGAGACTGCAGTTGAGAGCTGGGATGACTTTTGCAGCTTACCGGCCTAAATTCTCCTGAAATGGTCACCTTAGACACACTCTTGACCCCTCCCTTCCTCCTTCCCTCAAAGCAATCCCAACTGTTTCCACCTGGCATTCTAAAAAGAGCGTGCTAGTTGGAAAATAATCAGTCCTTCTAACAGCTCCACCGATCTGCTTTTATACTGTGCAAAGCCAGAAGGTGAGCTGTATTTACCACCTCTGGTGCTATAATGAAATAATCATTAAAGAATTAAAATGGCCTACAGTTAATTTTAAATGGTAATACATACTAAAGGAAAAGCAAAAGTGAACCATGCCTTGAGTAATGACTGGTGTCCAACTATCCTTTGGTCTTTCAGGTGTGGGGTTCTTACTTTTATATGTCTGTAAACTGGGAGAGGAGTTTTGAGGTGATACTACAGGAAGAGTTTGACATGAGAGAAGTCATGGCTGGGCAAGAGGAGTTTTACTTCACTGTAACCACCTTTCCATGCCTGTGGTTGGTGTTCCCTGTAACCTGGTGTGGACAAGTGAATTTTACTTTATATGATACAGTGGTGTGCACTTCCTTTATATGCTGAAATCTTTGCCCGTGTTTTGTATTTCAAGCTAAAAGCCTAAACAATGTTTTCTGTTTTTGTGGTTGTTGCTGTTGGTTAGTTGGTTTGTTTTAGGTTTTTTTTTGGGGGGGGGGTGGGGTAGGACATACAGGGTATGAGTGCTGTTAGTAATGTTGGTAACTTGTGGCCAAGTATGCTAAGCAGTTTTTATGTTATTTGATGAGTCAGATCTAGGCCTTCCTAGGATTATCAGCTAAAGGCAGGTATGCCTACCTATAGATTAGTGGAAGCGTCGAGGCAACTGTTGAATTTTCAACAGATACAGGTGGTTTATCATAGGCATTACAGAATACTTTTGTTGTCAGTACCTCATATTTATAAATACTAGACCAGAGAAATCCTAGAACCAAAACAAGTTTACATTCTTTGGGAAAAGACTGTTTGAATGAACACAGCACCAACTATGGGTATAGAATAAACCTATGATAAAGCAAAAAGTGAGAGAACTCCATGATACATATGGGAAAAAAAAAAACCCAACCAAACAAAAACAACCCCCAAACCAAAAGGCAGATTTGGAGTGGTGGTAAGGAAGTACTTGTGTAGCAGCTGTTTTAAAGCATGCTACTCATCAGTAAAAAAATACTTCTGGTCAGTGTTCCTGCAGTATCTGACTGTGTCTCAGAAATTGTGCTGTTGGTAGTGAAGCTGGTTACTCTGGGAGACTGATGGCATTGAGTCTTTGAGTTGTGTTTGTTGCTGATCATATTTGTTTACTTTCTCTAAGGTGCTATGGCTGAAGGCTGTTAGGGAAGGCCAAGTTTTAATTGTCCGATCTCAGGTACATACCAGTATGCAGCTACACTTTATCCAGCAGCCCACATACTGGCGGGACTTTTCTGAGGAACAGCTATTGAACTGCTGCTCAGGACCCTATTCTTGAAAGTGAAAGCTGTCAATTATATGTTTTCATTCAAGTAACTGGAAAATATACTTGCTCCTTTTTTCTGCTGTCCATAAAAATATTGTCTCTGTTGGAAAAGGCAGTGAAACACAAATCCTTTTGGCAGAATTTCTATTACACCTTTTATTTTCTGAGGATTGGGTTAGTGAATTTCCTGTTGTTTTGGACTCGCGTTTTAGTCAGCATTTCTAAAACCTACTCTACACTGCAGGAGAAAAGCTAAGTTGGATGTGAGAGGGAAGTGGCATCTCTCTGAGCTGACTATCTAGTGATTTTCAGTACATAACACAGTCATGAAAGAAAGCAACACAGTCATGAAAGAAAGCAAGTTACTGGAATAGGTTATCATTAAGCCTTGCTTTTCAGCGGCAAACAATCACCCCTACCCCTTCTCTGTGCCACAGCTAAAATAACTCAAAAAGGGTAAACATTTTTCTGTTCCAGGTGTTTCAGTTTCTAAGACTTATATAGCTTCCACCTGGAGCTTTATTCACAGTTATCTTGTGTAGATCCATCTCCCAGTTTCAGTTGAGAGGACTTGGTGGGAAGCAGAAAGTCCTGTAGCTACTTGTCCTGCAGTTTAGCACCTTCAAATAAGGTTAATGAACTTGAAGGATTTGGAAGAAATGTTTTGGAAGCAAAAGACACAGGGATACTCTCCTGTTGGAAAGAATTGGTGCCACTTTAGTCCCTGAAAAGAAAGAGACTTAGAAATAGGGCCTTGTGACTGTATGCTGCTACCAAAGGAGGTAATGTTAGCTTTCTTGCTTTACATTATTACTCAACTGTGATTTGTCTTAGCTACATATAGCATTGCTATTTCATTGTGCCTGCAAAACATGTTTTGTAGCAACCTTCTTTGCTATCAGTGGTATATTCTGAGAATTAGAAATTCTAGGTTTGTGTTTTCTCTTCTGGTTCCTTTCTGGAGAATGGAATGGACTTCAGTGCATGAGACTTTCTTAGCAGTTTGTTCAGTCTTCATCAGAGAGGCTAGGTGGGATTCACTGGCATAGGCCATGATGTTCTAGATATCTCCACCATTTTTGTGATGCCTTCATGTTCTGGAAAAGTCAGCTTAGGTTTGTTTATGGGGCATATTCAAGAAGAATGGTCTTTCTGCTGAGACCGAAGGTGGGGGAAAGAAGTCTGTTTATGCTTTGAAAATAAAACTTATTTAGTTGTGAGCAGTAAACATCCTTGAGGCATAAGATGTCATCTAAGAAAAATGATTCTTTATTGTTATTATCTAAACATAACTATTGCTAACCTTTGCTGACATTTAAAGATATATAGCAGTGGATTTTGTGGAATTGAATAATAATTTAAATTTTGTACAGCACTGAGATCTCTTCATGGTCAATCCATACTAATCTCTGTGTCCCATTATGCAATAGATTTGGACAAAATGACAGCAGAATTCTTCGCATGCTTGTATTGGGGATGATAGATACTATTAATGGATTTTAGAATGAATGGCATTATTTTTAGGCTGGAACAAGAAATACACATTGTCTATTTTTGGGTATTGGAAAACAGTTCAATTTTAGTTACTAACCCAGGTGAAGATAAAAGAATGCGCTTCCTATTGAGCTGGCATGAGTTCAGAATTCATTAGATAACAGACTTTCTTTCAAGCTTTACATGGGATAGTGAAGGGAGCAAGCCAGCAGTAGTGTTTTTGTGCCTTATTAGCTATTCTCACTGTATGTAATGCAGGAAGTATTAATTGTCACTCATTGATTTGTTACAGAGAGTAAGACTGAGGAAAATTCAATTCTCTTTGTACCAAATATGGGGGGGAGTGTGCTAAAAATGTGTTGTTTTCTAGGGATGCTAATTCTGAAAAGCAGAGATAAGTTATGGAATTCATATGGAGCAGTTACTGATAATTCTTATCTGTGGTTAAGGAAACCTGATTAGGCACTAATTAATGAATGTTTTATTGCAATAATCAAATATGATAGTATGCTTAAATATTAGAAGTTGTAACAATATTTTATAATAATTTTACACTGTATGTTATTATTATAAAATATTGTAACTTGTGAAATGAACTCTAATAATTTTTAAACTGAATCCAGCTTTCATAAAATAGGATGGTTCCATGGTGTGGTTTAGGAATGTGAAGTCAACACTATAAATTATTTGTTTATTACTGTCTATCTCTGCTATTTTTACTGTGAATGCAGAATAGTCACTATAGAAGTCTATTTCCATTGCAGCTTCTTAAAGCAACTGTTTGCTGTTGGACTTTCTTACTTGCTATCTCAGCAATTTAGCAGATGCAACTATCTGGATACAGGAGAGGGACTCTTCATCAGGAACTGTAGTGACAGGACAAGGGGTAATGGGTTTAAATTTAAACAGGGGAAGTTCAGGTCAGATAAAAGGAAGAAGTCCTTTACTGTGAAGGTGTTGAGGCACTGGAATAGGTTGCCCAAAGAAATGGTAAATGCTCCATCCCTGATAGTGTTCAAGGCCAGGTTGGACAGAGCATTGGGTGACATGGTTTAATGTGAGACGTCCCTGCCTATGTCAGGGGTTTGGAACTAGGTGATCTTAAGGTCCTTTCCAGTCTTAACCATTTTATGATCCCTCTCTTCCGGCTTGCAGAGGATTTAGATGAGATGCAGTAGAGCCCTTTTTTTTCCTAATAATAATGATAATCCCATGGTGTGGAGTTGAAATCTAATCCTTTCAGGGCTTTTTTTTTTTTTTTTTTTTTTTTTTCTGTATTTGATCTGCCTGTTATAACTAACTCAAGTGAGTTAAACGAGATGGAGAATGTGAATTCTTTAGTGTGTATGTGCATCTTGCTTTATACATATTGGGCAGATTACACACATAGTTTTAAAAAGGAATAAATCCACTTTACAAAAGCTTTGCAAGTGCAAAAAAAGTTCTGTACCAACTAAAAGCAAAGCAGGCATAGAAAACTGATGTAGTATTGTCAAGTAGCACACAGCTCATGGAAATATGCTACATGACATCATCCTTTAAAGTTTATCTTGTTTGCAGCATTAGTATCCCAATAGTCACTTGACAACTTTTAGTGTTAAGAACCTTGCATACACAGATTTTCATTTTGAGAATCTAGGTACTTCAGCAGGTACATGTAACTGATAAATCTTTTTGTAGTTGTCAAAACAACTTTGTACTTTTTCTTTTTCAACTAAAAGCACTTTGACAGTCTGAAACCTGGTATATCAATAGGGAAAGCAAACAGTCTATTAATTTTAGTACCACATTTCACTGAGAGTTTTGACATTTTTGAAATATATCACTTCAAACAGTGAGACAGAGATGATTAAAGGTTGTTACTGGCAAAAATGTTGTTGGTTATTGATGGTACTGATATCACACAGGGACATCTTCGCATACTGGTAAAGTCTTGTTTGAAAACCAGTGTAATTTGACTGTATGGACTCTTATCTCATTATAGTCTGAGCACTAGTTTCTATGCCTTGAGGGCTTCAAAAAAAAACCCAAAACAAACCCAACTGAAAAAAACCCCAACCCTGACCTAGTTGCTGCTTGGTGATTGTCATTGTTTGTAGCTTACCTGTCAGTTCTCAGTTTTGTTGATGTGTGGAACAACGTTGTCCTGATGTCTAAAGTCACTCACAATTAACTTGAACCAGAGATGCTGCTAGAGAAGGACTGGTTTGGAAAGATAAAACAGACTACAGGGATTCGAGATTTGTTTTTCAGTCTGGGAAAATTACTGTGTGTTTGTCCATAGTGTGAGCTGCAGCCTGAAACAGGCTCTTTGCAGAAACCCTGTGTGTTCCCAGTTTCCTCAGTGCAGTTATACTGCCTTTTGGTTTGTCATTCTTTCTATGTTTAAATGGATAATTTTCTCCTTTTAAGCTGTTGAGAAATCACAGATATTATTGCGAATGTCTTGCCAGACACCAAAAGTAAATGGAAATACACAGTTGTCTTGTGCAGTTTCCCATCTGATGTGAAAGCACTCTCCAGTGTGGTCTTGCAGAAGATGATGCTTAAAAAAAAAGGTGGTGCAAACCTTATTTTTTAATAGCATTGTTTTTATGGAGCTCAATCCATTAAGGTAATATGAATATTCTGCTCTTTGTGCCAGGGAAGGAAAGTGAGTGACATAATATAAGCATGTAAGAGTTGTCTGACTTGAATCTGGGGTACTGTGAAGGAGACTTGCAGTGTGTGCTCAGGGTGTGCTGGAATCTGTGTGCTCAGTCTGTCGCAGACAACTTCTTAACTCATGTACATAGCATTGTTTGGCTCACTCTATGTGCTTGGATTACATAATCTGTGACAGTTTAAAGCTTTCTCAAATTTCCCTTGAAAGATGAACCTTCTAAACTTTGCTAGAATGAAGTTTAGAATTAGTGTTTATTTACTTGTGTGAAAAACCTTTGTGTTAATGAAAATATATTCATGTTTCTTTGCATTTTTAGAGAATTTAGTTGTTAATTTAGATACAGGTTTTTTTTAATGAAAACACCAGAACCTTTTAGCTGAAAGGTCGTTAAACAGTAGAGTCTGGCTATCTGTTTCATTTTGGCTTTTGGTTTTTGTAACTCCAAGCTTTCTGTGTAGTATATAAATAGTTCAGCGCACTATGTGGTTAAAAAAAAAAAAAAGTAATTCAGGAAAAATTACTAATCAATGTTGGATAAATACAATATTCTAAGAGATCTGTAATCAAAGATATTCTGTGGAGAAGAAAATTGCTACCAGCTGAAGCTCTCAATATGTAGAATATATCTAGCACAAATTTATTTATCCAGCTTTCATTTGGCACGGGTGAGTAACATCTATGCTGATTTGTCCACTTACTTAGGGTTTTTTGTTGTTACTATTGACAGGAAAAAAACAGAACTATAATATGAGAATGATTGATTGTGGGATGGAGCCATAGGATGACTCATCCTATATAAACTAATAAAACAGATATTAATGGAAGCACATTTCACATGAGCTTGTTTCTTCAGTGGAGTTGTTTGGACTCCTGAGACTTGTCCTGACAATAGTTCCAGACACAATAATAATTTTTATTGCTTTTGCAAAGTGATTTTGAAAAGTATATAATTGAGATGAGGGTATCTGGAGATGACTTAGTTTAATCATTATACTGCCAAACTCTTGGCAGCACAATTAGATGGTTTTAAATTAACCGCATTTTGAAGGTATGGATATCTAGGACTGGAGATGTCCGTAGCAGTGCTAGCCTATCACTAATCATTCTACACTTACTAAAATTCTCCTTTTAACAACTTCAAAGCTGAAGTATGCTGGCAATCTGTATATTGACTTTGTTACAGAATTTCAAGGGAACTGCCTGTCCAAGAAGAGTTATTTAATGGGTGGTGGTAAAAATCAAGACTGGTACAGGCTTACCTGATGAGAACTGAAAGATATTCTCAACGAAAAAGGGAAAGCAGTTTACATACCATACAGCTTTTTCAGGTGCCAAAATTTACTCATACAGAACTAAACAGTGCTTTTCATCTGTCTGTGGTCCATTGAATCTCTAGACGGGTGCCCATCCTTTTGCTAGAATCACAATTCAGGTATTAAGAAAACCTCTAAATTACTTAACACAGGAGTATCGTATAGAGTTTCTAACAGAAACATGTATTTGAATAGGTGACTTCCTCATAGAGGAAAGATTTCTAGATTTAAATTGCAGAAAAATGAAACACTGCTGTTGGCCAATGGAATAGTTGTACAATGAGGTCCCAAGGCAGGGCCTTTTTTATTT